TCTATCTATCTTTATTTATTTATTTACTAATTTATTTATTTTATTATTTTTGTTTTATGTGTATGAGTGTATTGCCTGTATGTATATGAGGGCACCTGTGTCATGCAATGCCATGGAGGTCAGAAGAGGGTGTCAAATTCCCCTGGAACTGGAGTTAAGGATGGTTCTTAGCCGTCATGTGGGTGCTAGGAATCAATCCTGGGTCCTCTGCAAGAGCACTCAGTGCTCTTAACTGCTGAGCCATCTCTCCAGCCCAGTATTATCTATTTTTAAACATTTTGTTAACATGACAAAACTCTCCTATTTATTTTTTGAGACAGGGTCTCAGTCCATAGCCCAGGTTAGCTTTCTACTTGTGATCTTCCTGTCTCAACCTTTTGAATGCTGAGATTGTCAGATTGCAGGCATGCACCACTGTGCCAGGCTCTCCTTGTTATTTGTTTATTTGGTCTTTTTGAGACAGGGTCTCAAAATAATCACAGGGTCCCTACAAATAATCATCCTGGGTGAGTTAGCCCCAGCTGGCCTGGAACTCATTATGTAGACCAGGCTGGCCTCGAACTCGTAGAGATCCACCTGCCTCTGCCTGCCGAGTGCTGGGATTAAAGGCATGTGCCACCATGCTTGGCTCACCTTGTTAGTTTAATTTACACTTTAACATGGTGAAATGGAGCTTGTACCTCATGCTTGGGATCTGGGGTGGGGGGTAACAAGGACCCTACAAATAATCATTCTGAGATGAGTTGGCCCTTGGGGCAGCAGAGAGACATGGACTCTTGACTCTGTAGCCTGGGACTGGGATGGTAAGCAGTTCCTGGGGGAGGGGGATGTCAGTGTGGCACTAGATCCAGCTCCACTACTGGTAACTTCCAGAAAAGTGTTATGTAAATCAGGGGGCTATTTTAGGATTCTAGCTGGTGGTAATTTTAGCTGTGTGTGTGTGTATGTACACATGTGCATGCACCGCTGTGCCCAGCTCTCCTTGTTATTTATTTATTTGTTTATTTGGTCTTTTTGAGACAGGGTCTCCCTGCCGTCACAACTGGCCTGGAACTTGCTATATAGGCCATGCTGGCCTTGATCTCACAGAGATCCTCCTGCCTCTGCCTTCTGAGTGCTGGGATTGAAGGCGTGTGCCACCATGCCTGGCTACATCTGGCTTCTTCTTTATTATGTGGGTACAGGAATCATACTCAGCTTCTCATCCTTCTACAACAAGCACTTTACCCACGGAGCTATCATATCAGCCTGAATTGTAGCCTTTAATTGAAACCGAGACCTCCCTTCTCTCCATTCACCCGCCATCTTCCTGTGTCTCCTGTCTCCCACTAGCTGTGTAAAAGCAGAACCAGCAGACCACGTCATGGACTCTACTCCCTCATCAAGGGACTGTCATCAACATCTCTAAGCCTCAGTGTCTTCCAGGAACATTTTATATCTCAAAGGATTGGCTCGACGAACTAGCTAGTGTATAAATAGAGATCAATAAAGGTGTCTTGAGGTGGGGGATGTGGCTTAATTGTAGAGCTCTTGCCTAACATGTGAGAGAGGCCCTGAGTTTCATACTCAGTACCCGGAAAAAATTATTCCCTTCTATTCCTTTATTTCCACAAGTTTGGATTGGAGCTAGTCACCA